GCGTGTATATGTGTCTTTTTTTGTGTGTATGTGTTTTTATTATTAGCATCGACCGCGCTAACCGGTTGACCAATGTGTGTTGTACCTGTAATAGCTTCCCGCGAGACTGTCGGGAACGTTATGCGGAGACCGGAGAACGATCTTGACGGTCTTTCGAAATTTCCAATTCGCGGGTGGTGTGGTTGCGGGTTACTGGATGTACCAGGAGGGCACGATCTTCACCCATACTTTCTACGATGTCCCACATACCGTGTGTACTCGTGTCGTTGTCAGTTGTCGCGTGAGGCCTCCTGTACGAACCTACAGTAGTGGGGACATGCTGTACGCAGTGTACCCTGCATGCCGGGGAGTGTGGTGGTGCTGTACAAAGGGTGTTCTTACCTAGTCTAGCGTTGGTGTTCAGCAACATTCTGACAACACGCGTTCGTCATCCAGGCGCTGCCAAAACTGAGGGAATGGTTGGGGTGGTATCACGAAGACGCATACGCGGCTGCCGTATCGTGCTGTGTGTAGGGAAATGCTGTATAACTGCTGTAAAGTACTACTGCTGTTGCTGCTTAGACCATACCCTAGACCATGCATTTGTGTGGTCAGACCGCAACTAACGACTGCTGACAGACACACCAGTACAGCAGTACATACTCCTCCTCCTCGGCCTGCTCCCCGGCCGGGGCCGAAATCGACCTAGTGAGTCCCTCGCGGGCGAACCAGGACACAACAGATAGTAGGCGGGTGGTGTCCCAAGGTGCAACTCACCGCCGCGCTGGCTCAGCGTGGCGGTGAGGATGCACAGACGGTGGTAGTGGCGAGAGGTGTGTATGGACACTGTTCCCGCGGCAGTAATGCAAAGCGGCAAACTGCACCTGGCAACCACCGTCGCGGAAAGCGTGGCCCACGAAGCTGGAGGAGTAGAGAGATTCGTAAACACCACGTCAGTAAGCACCGCTCGCGGGAGAAGGGAGACGACCGCGGGCACCGCGGGGAGGGAGTGCTGCACCCTCCTCGTCAAAACACCACAGGCAAGAACCGAGCTCTGCAGAGATGGATTGATGCGAGGAAACTCGCCGCTCGGAAAAGACGGAAGAAAGCACACCCGCAACGCGAGGTGGACCGAGAGAGACACGAGACCGCAGCGGCCGTCAAGGCAGCTGCGAAGAAGAAGGCACGAGAGGGCGACCTATCGTTCGGCACGTTCAACGTACGCACGCTCGCCTACAGCGGTAGGAACCCCATCGGTCACAACGTGATGACGGTCATGCAGATTTGTTCCGCGACCGGCTGTGATGTGATAGGACTTCAGGAGACCCGACGAG